AAGTAACACCATGCCCAGCAGGCAATATGAGGTCCAAACATAGTATGGCTCTAAGACAGATGGAAAGCCAGTGGATTTCGAGTGTGAATAGTACATCTCATTTTAGCACTCATCTTTTCTCCTTCTAGTATCTGGAATCCTTAGAAAACAGAAAAACTGGAAGAATATTCCAAGGGCTGCACCATTCTTGAAAGTCTCCGTAGCGGCGCAGGGGCTTGGCAAAGAGTGGCCAGGTACCAGTGCAGCTCAGGAGTGCAACACATCCCCAAGAAGCTCTCCAGTGCCACTCGAGCTCTCCAAGAGTGTTCTCAAACCACATCCAGTGATTTCACCTTGGCATGCCCACAGCAGGTCTTGATGCAAGCACTGAGCTACACGATAACCTGGGAGAAGATACCTCTAATCTCCTCTCTCCTTGTAACAAGAAGCTTTGGGAGTTCTTAAAGGATACTACTCTGCTCAAATAAAGTAACAGAATAAATGTGGGACAGAGGCATGAATGACTGCATTGTGTGTGTGTGGTTTGGGAAATAATTTCCTGGGCTACTCCAAACTCAGAAGCCATGTTGAATAGAATATATTGGTATACGTACACAATGCTGGATCTCCTCCAGAAGAACACAAATAAAATAAGATATGAAGGCTTGATTTTTTTCAGAATTAAGGGAAACGTGATCTTGAATCTTCCCACTCATTAGCTGCCAACACAGCATACATGATTTGTGGTTGGTAAATAAGCAACACCTGGCTTACCCCTGGATAAATGGGATAGATGCTGCTTCCAGGGATAAACAAAAACTAGTGTGAGATGTTTTAGCAGCAGTTGTTCATTCTCTAATAACAAAGGCATTCCTTATCTGATTAGAGCATAAGCAATTTGGAGGCACGCTTGTATGCAGCATAACATAAGTGCACATGTGCACTGGACAATCAGTGCCAAAAGGTTGGCAGCTATTATATTTTCCATAGACAGGACAATGGCCCCAAGATTTCAAACTGCTCAAAGTAGGTATTCATACTGAGCTAGCAGAGCTTAAGAATTTGTAGTATAAATACAAAAGTTTCAAAAACTTGTGTCTTCCAAGAGCGTCCTATTTATAGAATCCTTGTCAAGAGGACTTGGAGATAATGTAAAACATTCACCAGAAGACAAGATGACAGAGGTTCTAGAGAGCTGCATTTAATAAAATCACAATGTAATTTGTCTTTTGAGATCCAAAATCCTCCACTGTAAATGTTGAGTGGCAGAACAGTTCCATCCCACAAGATTTTTTTTTTTTAAAAGTCTTCCAGATAAGAACAGCTTAAAAGAGCAGAAATTCATTTGTTCTTGCTCTTAAAGCATGATTAAGTAGTCTATGATACAGGAAATGAGGCTGATAAAGCTACAGGCAGCTGCAGTGTTACCCCAGTCATATGCCAGTACCTGAAGCTGGGGCCAAGCCCCTTCTTTTTCAGAGCTAGAAACACCAGTTTCTTTGAAGAACAACTGGTTGGGGAGTCACTCCAAGTGCATCTGGAATCTTTGGTTCTGCTGTTTACTAATCAGGCTTCAAGTCAGGGTAAGGCCATCTGCATTTTAGAATGACAAGAAAGAGGAAGAACCTCAGGTATTAGGATCTGGGAGAAAAAAAGGTGCAAAAAGACTTTTCTACCTTTAAATCTATAGCAGTAATGACAGCAGACTGAAGCCTCCAGTATTGGAGCCCACTGGGAATATTAGTCTTCAAATCTGTCTCTCAGTACAAATCAAAAAGGCTAGGGTGAGCAATGAAATTTCTGCAAGCACACTGAGACTACATGAAGTCAAAAATCCAGGTCAGGAGAAGTTGCAAAACAGTGGAAAGTCCAAGTCTGCAAATTAGAATTTCAGGAACAAACCAAAAAAAGCTCACTGCTTCACAGGCATTTCTCAAGCTTCTGCTTTTTTTTTTTTTTTTTTTTTTTTTCCCCCCCCCCCCACCTACTCTGGCTTATCATACTGACTGAAGCTAGGGTCAGAACTCGAAACACAGAACACAATTTATTCAAACATCCCCAACCATCTTCCAGGGCCAGAAAATTCAATGGCACAATTATTCTGAGGACAGTAGAGTTTATTCTTTTAAGAATGGCAGTCCACCATGACATTGGTCAGCAGATTTGTGCCAGAAAGTCAGCTTTTCTTTTCTCAAAGTAACTTAAGTTGTGTCAGAACTAGAGGGGTTCTGGACCAAATTAATCTATTTGCTTGCCAGGAGCAGCTGGATGTGTTCCTAATTCTCCTTTCAGGCCTTTGAATTTGACTCCTGCAAAACACCACATTAATCCAGCACAGGTATACTGCATAGAGGCATTACATTGTCTACACCTGTAAAATGGAAAAGCACATTCTGTTCAATTCAAACAGAAATTCATTTTTACCTTTATAGGGTTCAAGAACAACAGAAAATCCTTACACCTGAAAGGCAGCAATAAAAGGCAAGAAACAATAGAAAATAAAAACCAGTTGAAGTCGAAAGAAAAAAAAAAAAAAGAAAACCAAGGTCATTGCCCAAAAAGCTGTGAGGAATCCCTCTGACTCAGTTCAAAGGTGAGAGAAAGTGATGGCAGGAGACAGGCTCTACCCAGAGGCACTATCTCTATGTCATATGTGGAGCACGCACACATCTACCATTTCTCTTTGGGTTTAAAATCTCAGGACTTTCCATTCATCTCTGAGAATTTTTACACTTTCCTAAATGGAAGATTTCCGGTACTAGTATGTCAGATAACTGAAAGGGGAAACCCCTTATTTCCCATGCCAAATCAGGCTGACTTTAGCTCATTTTCTTCAGTAAGGCACAATGATCAAGTTAAGCTTTGCCAACAGGCCAGCAGAGTGTATTTGGTCTGGCTGGGGTGGAGTTAACCTCTCCTAGAGCTGCTCTCACAGTTCTGGGCTGTGTGTTGGTCGTTAGCAAGGTGTTGATAACACACTGGTGTTCTGGCTGCTGCTGAGCAGTGCTCACAGCCCATCAAGGCTGTCTCTGCAACTCCCCCTCCAGTAGGCTGGGGGAGGCAAGATCTTGGGAGAGGACACAGCCAGGACAGCTGACCCCAGCTGACCAAAGTGATATTCCAGACCATGTAGTGTCTGCTCAAGGATAAAAGCTAAGGAGGAGGCATTCTTTATTATTATGTTTATCTTCTGGAGCTACAACTACATGTACTGAATCACATGTACAAGTGGCTGGACATCCCCTGATGACAGAAAGTAGAGAATAAATCTTTTGTTTTCCTTGGCTTCCACACACAGCCTTTGCTTTTGATTTTATTAAACTGCCTTTATCTTTGCCCATGAGTTTTTTCTACCTCATTTTCTCCCCCCTTGCCTTGTCCTGCTAAGGAGGGGAGTGATGGAGCGGCTTGGTGGGCACCTGGCATCCTGCCAAGGTCAACCCACCACACGTACCACACTAAGATAGGACCACAAATTTAGATTAGTTTAGAATGGGAAGAAAAAGTTTACATTGCTTAGAATCTACCATGAAGACATACCCTTCATTCTACTCAGGCACTCATTATTAATTATTTGATTGTCATTTAATAGTTCATACTGCATGTTGTTAGGCACTACAGTAGAAGAGAATATAAACGAAACAGTTTAAGTGCTTTCTAAGTAGACTACAGACAGTTTGGTTGAAGTTAGTCTAATTTAAAAGAAATCTGACTATACAGATAGGGAAGTCATATCAGTAAGAAATATGATCTCTCTTAACAGTAGTTTCCATAAAACCAGCTTAGTGGAGCAACTTGCTTCTCTGTTTTTTTGGCATTATACTGCAGAATTACATTAACTGATTGATATCAGAACAAAAACAACTTTCAACGTATCATTTTATTATGTTCATAATGTGAATTAGGTTAACTGCTACTCAGGTACTCCTAAAACTATAATTTGATAAATTGGATTGTAAGAATCATCAGGTTTCATAAGAGACCTAAAGCAGGTGGTGTGATGAGCAGGTACACAACTCACCACTAGGCAGCAGGTGGTTTGGGAGACTCTCCTCAGCTGCAACAGCAGCAATAATCACCACTTGGAAGCAAGTGTGTTTCAGAGGAAAAGTTCAAAAGGTATTTAATTCCCAGCGAATGGTAATCCTAAAACTGTCTGGTTTGTTCTGTGACCAGCAGGTTCTGAGACCTTCTTGACAGATCAGGTCAACTGACCTTTCCTTTCCAGAAACCTCTTGCACATGAAATAAATCTCACGAGAGTAAATAACAAAGATGTGAAAATAATAAGCTTATTTTTGCTGAACATTGTTAATAGGAAAGAAACTCAGCTTTCAAGTGTATAAAGGAGTGTCTCTGCCAATAACATTGACAGATAAAGTAACTGCCCTAACAAATTACTTATATTTATTATCTTCAGGTAAGTAGAACATATACACAAACTTTCTAACGGATACTGGCCCTAATCACAGAAATCTATTTAAATTTAAAATTATATAGATCATAAAACAACTATCTCACAGAATGTTTCTGATAGCTTTTCACATGAATTAAGAATGGCATTTTCATGAGGTTTTCTTTCTTTCAATTTAACTGTACACCAATTTATTAATGATAACAACCCATACATTCCTTAGAATTTACACTTTCTTAAATATTAAAAACAGATATACCATAGCTGTAGCCAATCCTTTGCAGCTTTTCATGTCACTTAGTAAGGCTAAATTAAAAAGGCATTATCATTTAGACTACAAACATTATCAAAACCTGTACATTCATTTGGAAAAGAATATCACTGTCATAATGACATTTGGTTTACTGAATAGAGCAACTAAACAGAGGAAAAGAAGTTCAATCAAAGCTACTATTCAGTGCAAGGATTAAAAATAAAAGAGAAGAATACACTGGTTATTGCTTTGCCTCCACCAGCCCTACTGTGAAATTTTCATATCCTTTTAAAGATGCATCCAGCACTCTGTGAAAGGAAAAACATAGAAATACACACAAGAAAAAAGTACTCACACTGTTTGGGTGTTGAATGGCAGCTTCGTGCTGCAGCCTAACCCGCTGCGGCATCATCACATCATCCTGGAATAAATGACACACTGTTACTGAATAGAAAAAGGGTCACAGTACAGTACTCAGACGCACATTAGAATATGCTGCTAAATTAACATCATTTTACTGGAGCGCAGTCAGAAATGCAAATGTACAACTATTAGGAGACTTTTTTACTTTCAGTAGAAGAATCCTGTTCAAGTCAGAAGTGATCAAAACTACTATGTGACAACCATGTTGTGATCTCAACATACATCTTATGGGCACCCAGACATTTTACATTTCTAAAGAAATTCACCCACTCTAACAATTGGAACACCACTACTGGCAGTATGTGTGGACTAGGAACTAGCCTCGATTAAAGGCATGAGATTTGAGAGATTCTAGCAATATGAGGAAACATGCTTTGTGGTCTAGCTGCACCTTGTTTCACTGGTAAGGAAAAGCCTTCGGTCTCTAATCTACCAATATGTCATATTTCATGAGCACAACTAGTATTTGTGAAGTGATAAGATTCTAAGGGAAAAAACAAGAAAAAAACCCTGCACTCATAAAATGTATCAGCATTGACACTGTCTTTAAAACACACCACCTAGATTTGCATTTGATGTTCATACTTCTTTTGCCTGTAGCAAAAAGGTCTACTTTGCTTACATACAAAACAGTTGCCTTGTAAAGAGTCAGTAACCTTACCCTCCTTCCTCAAATGGATCAGAGACACTCCTTTCAAAACTCTATTACTTCCTTCTCAAAATGATGTATTTTCTAGGCTAGTTTTACAGTCAATTAAACGGCCCAAATTAGTCTCCCAGAGTTTCTACCTACATTCTTTTCCATTTTGGTGCCATATTTCTTCCCTTTTAAAGGATCAGTTCAGTCTTTCTTAGATGCTGGTTAAAGCTACCACAGCCTATTTCTCAGGGTATTTCCAAATGATCAGACAAAACTTATCAGACAAACATAATTCAAAGGAGCCCTGAATTCCCGTTCTACTTCCATTCTTTCAACAGTTCCTCACATAAAAATCATTCTAAGGAGATTCCTATTGAGGCAAAAAAACCCGCAAGTATTGAATTTCCAACAACTTTAACATTAAAACTTTCAGTCAAATCAATGGCAACAAAAGATATATTAGTACTTAAATATCTAGAGCTTACAGAGTTTTGAATGACCTTGATATAAAGGTGACACTATGGTTTTATAAAAAAAAATTGAAGGACTGAAAAAAGTTTCAGAAGTAGCTCCAACTAATTAATACAGTTCAAGGTAAAGATAACAGAAATGAATAATAAACCTGACCTTTATTACGTGCCAGTTTATAAAGGTGGAGGGAATACATTGTCAAAAGCATTTTTCTGTATCTTGTATTTAGGATGAAGGTAGTGATAACCATGAGAGATGTTACTGATCTTCAAAGCCAACAGAGGAAAAAAAACCCTTCCAATTTCTCAACCTCTATACATCAGTTACTTCAGAACTATGATTTTATTCCACTTTATCAGTAAGGTGCCAGTATTCAGGTACTGTACCAAGAAAATGTTCCAACAAAACATTTACCCAGTATCTCCTCAGAATTGCCATAATCCTATTTCTTTATGCCAAATAGTGAGCAAACTTGGTTTTCATATAAGCAATAGGAGATAGATTTTAACTGAACTTTATTCACTCCTTTATGAATTACTTAGAATTCTTAGATATCTTTTATTTTTTAATTCCTCAAAACTGAGAATGCAAAAGAAGTACATCAAAAAGCAAGGAATTCCAATGCTTAGAACAAAGCTACTATTATCTCTTACAATATACAACATATGCTCTTGTGCTAAAAGATTCCACTGTTAATGATCCAGCACAACAGAGATAAATTTAACAGAACTCAGACATTCACAAAGATGACAAATAATCTACTTGATTTAAAATGTTGAACCAGCATGCAAAGCATACAAACCAAATTCAAATATCCTATTCAACAAACAGGTCAATGTTATGTTTGTATAAGCAGACAACTTGACAGGAAAGGTCTAGTTCCCCTGAACAAAACACTATGTCATTTTGATGCTATTGGCAAAACTAACAAGTCTACAGATTTGGGTCTTAGGCTATCACCAAGATCATCAGTATTCTGTAAAATCCAGCTAAAGAGAGGGCACTTAAACCACAAAACCTTCAAATGCCTTTTTTTTTTTTTTTAAGACATCTTTGTTCTCTAACACTGAAAACTCTATGAACTCTATGATCCTGAATGACCTTTTTTTTTTTTTAAAGAATTTTTTTTTAAACTGTTGTACAACTATGATGCACTGCTGTAGAGTTCTGTAATACTTTCCAGGTTTATGGAAAGAAAAAGAAAGAAAGAAAAAAAAATAACCAAACCACAACATAGTAGTTTAAGACATAACCCCAAATAAAATAATAAAGCAAGTAGGAGATGAAGAAGCACAGCACAAAGTACAAATCACATCCCAGACAAAACTGAGTGGCACCAGTCATTTAGCTTTTTAGACTCAGGCTGGGCAACTAGAAAAGAAAGCTGACTCCAAAACACAACTTCAACATGTTCCAGATTCAACTGATGACTGCTGATGACTGGGCAGCTAACCACAAAGTAGAAACCAGAATATATTTATATAGAAATATTGCTAAGTAATGTGGTTGTATTCTAGACCAGTGTTTAAAAACTAAATTAAATTCTAATGAGTAAAATCAAAAAGACTGTACAACAAAATAAGAGCACTTTAAAAGTGTTTCAACTTTTGACAGGCCATTGACAGGAGCAAGATGCCCAACCACACACTGTACTGGTAAGGGTTTACCAATTTAGGCAGCTATAGTATGTAGTATAATAATAATTTATATAATAATTTAGGCAGTATATAGTGTATATAGTATAACAACTAAGATGTTAAAAGATTTTATCTCCCTGTAAAAATTGTGACTGCATAATGTAATACCAAAACTGTTGTCTTTACGATGTTGAATTCAGCAGCTGTGTTGCCAGACTTTGGCTTCTGCAGTCAACAGGCTTTGGTCATCTTTTTGGTTTCAAACTGACAAGAAAACCTCAGTAATTAGACAAACACGTCCCAAATTATTTTTCACTCATGTCACGTCAGGAGACAAAAAAAAAAAAAAGTATGTAACTGAATGTAGCTGCTGTACCAAAAAGGGAAGTATACTTAGTTTGTTTCTGTCGCCTGGATGAAAGCAGGAAAGATAACAAGGCTAGTAGTGAATTACATTGACTATATAATTTTAAAACTCAGAATTTTAACTGAATTTCCACTGAAAGTCAATTTTCACTGTTAACATGGAAGTCTCTAATGATTGACTCCTAAGAGATATAAGGCAGACAGGATGAAGAGAGGCCTCCCCCATTGAAATAATAGATTTAAAATAAATGCTAGACAAATGCATGCCTTCACTAAGCATATACTTGCAATAGGATAGCTGAATAAAAAAAAGAATCTGCAAGTAAATCTATTTTCATGGGATCCCCCTCACTAGACTTAGCAGAAAAATTAAGAAAAATCTCAGGTAATAGCTGGGCTTACTGTCATCTAAATATGTACATACAGACACTGCAAACAAGGTGAAACAAACAGGTAAAGAGCAACAAATAAAGCAACATAAACAGAAACCTACTTTAGGCACTCAGCCCAGAATTCATAGGAATATTGTCATCTACAAATATGCTTCCTGCTTCCAGTGCCCATTCTGTGTAGGAAAACAATTTGCTCAAAGGTGAGACAATGAAAAGGACCTTATTTCACATGAAAAGCCAGCAGGGATTTCTAAGCAAGCCCAGATGTGTTTCTGCTGGTGGGGGGCTGTGATCTCCACCACCTTTCAGTCCCAGCAGCGCCCAGTCCACTCCTCCTGCAGAAAGCTGCCTCGATCCCATCAGGTTCCACATCACTGACAGATGCTGCCAAATCAGAAAAGCCAGCTACACAACTGTCACCTGGGTTGTTATCCTTCCAGCCAGAGGCACTATTCTTTGCAAAAACACAATTTATACTGAGCTAATTGTTCTAATTTACTCATAGGTTAGCTTTCCTTAGAAAACTAAACCAATAGGCTGAGCTTAAGAATATCACCCAAAGCTGCTGCTGTTGTTTCAGTATGTGTTTCTGAAACTAGTTTGGGTAAATTCAAATGGCAAACATTCACTGAACTCTTCAACCAGGCCATCTGGGCCACACTCAAAAATTCATGATTTCCCCTTAAAAGTACAGAGGGTTTGCACTTCAGAAAGTAAAACAAAATATACAACTCAGTGTACAACACACATCTACGTTTTAAAATGAAGGACAAGTTCACATAAACCAATGCACTAATTACAGCTCAGTATTGAAGTGCTTCTTTCTGCTCACGTTAGACTCAGCATCACACACTTTTCCAAATTCCTTTTTTTTCGGCTGCTCAAAAAAAAAAAAAAAAAAAAAAAGAGAGCTGACACACTTCATCCCCTCAATAATAGCACCTTCTTTCGATTGCAGCTATTACACATAAAATGCAACCTGTAGCAACACCAGGAAGAATGTTTGAGTCACTGAGAAAAAATATGGCATCTCCAAAATCTTTCAGTCCATCAGACGGTCATTCATTTATCCTGCACCTGCTCAGACTATAGTGAAAATCTTTCTTTAGTATTGTTTGGTTCAGCTCTTTGTAGCAGGGAAGTAAAAGGACTTGGATCTCCAAAAACTGGCATGTCAACAGCACTACCAAAGCAAATACACTGATCTGAGGCAATTTTCCAGAAGGCAAGTTTTTAAAGAAGCCCCACACTACCAGACACATTAGAATCTTGCACTCTAAAGGCCACACACAAGTCACCTGAGCAGAACATACCCTGATGATCTGTCAGTACCTGCAAGATCACAGGGGAAAAAACACTACTTTTCTGTTTCTACTTCTGAGTTAAACTGAGAAAGAAGGGGACAACAAAGAAAATGTTTCACAGTTTAAGAAGTTGACTTTATTAAGCTCTTTTCTTGAGCCTCGCAACAAAAAAAATCTACATATGAGGACATATGTGATATTCTTATGCACCTGAATGACTAGTGCCTTCCATCAATATGAAATTAATTACAACCTTTTAATAGAATCTTAATTCAGCATCTCTACTAATTGATCAGACAAATTTTGCTGCCAAAGCAGCTCCCACCTTGGTGTATTAGTTTAGCAAATGCAGATGTGTGCCTTTCCATATCTAGCTTTTCTGTAGCCACTGGAGATCACCCTGGATCCTGAGTGTCTGCAGGCAAGGGAAGCAATAACTCACCATAGCCAAGTCAATAGACTCAGGCAAGAGTAAAATCCTCCCTGTCAATTCCAAACACCCAAATTAACTAATGAACAGATGAAGGTATATGCAGTGAGAGGTTATTGCAAGCAAATTCGGAAGGTTTTCTTCTTCATCTGTGAAGCAGAAAAAGAACACTTCACATTCCAGAATTCCAGATAGAGGCATTTAATCTGTTTTTAATATATGTCTTTCTTTACAGAACAATAAAAGGAATTATGCCTTCAAGCACTCACAGTTCGATTTTTTGGTGTTCACTAGTGATTTGGAAACATGCATAACTCTTCTGGACAGAAGGGGCTTCTGGCAATGGACTTCATCACTCCATCCACTTACTGCTATTTAAGTAACAGGTTTTTTTATTTCAGTTTTAAATCAGTGGATCAAATTTGCAAGCAATAGTACGTTAAAAAAACTAACAGAAAGCAAATCCATGAACTCTGATCACTGGTTCATTTCCTAAGCTATACAGATATTCATTTGAAAGGGAAGAAGAATATTTCAAAAGTTTATTAGGGCCTGTAGAGTAACATATAATGGTTACTGAGAAAAAATCAATCTTTCCAAACCCAGCAAGTTATGGAGACTATAAAGACAAGCAGCTATGTTCCTAACTGAAAGCTCACTTGAAAGCTGGAGTCCCTAAAACATCTACCAAGTGTGGCTAGCAAAGGTCCAGCCACCTTCTTCCAAACCTTTATGAATACCCCCTCCACGGTGTGCTTTTGAACTCGAAACTCAAGAAAAGCATGCAATTTCACAGCAATTAAGAATTAACATTCCCAACTTGAATCATACAAGCAAATCTCCCAAATAGAAAGGCACAGGTCAGCAGGTGCCAACTCAAACATGGGAATGCTGGTTCCGGTGGTCCACCCTCACTTTTGGTGACTAAAACTGAACTGTTTCCCCTTATCATTTTCTACTATTAGGAAGCAGCAACACTGTGACAACATGGTTTAGAGACACATCTTTGATCTGGGTAAGAACCTCTGAAACAGCAACACATTGCCAACAGAGCCTTTCAAAAGACTGAAATGAGTGTGTTGAGGACTCAAGTGAATATGAATGGTTCAAAATACTGCAGGTCAAAAAAGGACATGTTTTCATATTTCTACTTTAACAGTCAGGAAGCCTCCAACAACATGTTGATTAAACCTGAAATAATGGGAAACTACACACAGGATGAAATGAAAGCATGGCCCTTTTTAAAGAAACACAGTTTTGTACAAGTGTAGGCATGTTTAAGTGAACGTCACTGAAAACAGCAGTTCAAAGAAGAAAAAGGAATTTTTAGTGTAAGAGTCCTGCTGTGCTGCAACTGGGTAAATGGTTGTAACAAAGATGGCAGCCACCCCAGAGAACCCTCAAACTGCAGTTCCAACACAATGCAACCAGTCAATCAAGTCATAACTGCAGACAATTTGAAGAAGAGTAAAGCTAACAATGAAATATATTTGTATAATTAGCTCATTCTACATTCTGACCAAGATTTTCTGAGGATATAACTGTTAAATATGAACCATTTGTTAAGTATATGCCATTTTTCTACTTGTTTTCCTGGTGGGAAAAATGCCTCAGTAGCTTAGAGGTGAAATCTGTAACAACCACCACAGCAAAAACACTCCATAGCAGCTATTAGTCAAACAGCTGCCACTTCATACTAGAACAGGCTGATCAAATTCTGACAGTTCTGAGCTCTGCAGACCTTTTTTTCCACATTTCTTCCCAATTTGTTGTCCTCAGAAATCTGTGTTGAGAGACATAACACAAGCAGCTTGACTCCAGCTGGAACGGCAAGCGAAGCAGTCTCCCTGGAGCCAGCACTTCCAAAGATGCTCCCAAATATGCTCATACATTCATTTCACCCCAAGAAGTGAAATGAATGTACAAGGAGCCACGATGTATTTCTGCACCTATATGAAATGTATACAAACCACAGCCCCAGCCCCACTGTGTCTCCACATCCACCTATAAAACCTCAGTTATAGCTGTGCTTCTGAAGGTCGATTCCCTGGCACTGCTGCAGCACATTCCAAAAGGCTGATATCAGCATTCCTTCCTAGAGAGCTTGATAGGGGATTGGTGACTGAAACGAAGAAGGTAGGTGGCGTGTAGAAGCAGAGCTGCTAAACAGCTGGCAACATCTGTGTTTCAGCTACCAGCACACAACAGTCACTAACTACAGCCAAAACACGGAGCAATTTTTACTCTCGTAGTGGTTTCTACGAGAAATTCATTTTATTTCCTCCAATCTGTTTTCAGCAAAAAATGGTAGTCACAGGGCGAGACAGCAGAAAATACATTTAAGTAATGCAAATCATTTAGTATTTCTTTTGTGTCAAGAAAAGGCTTCTGGTAGTTCAGAATGCCTTCTATTTGGAGGCATCTAGCTCAACAGCAAGAATAGAAAAGCATAGAACAGAAAATCTTGGTAGCTTCTTAAAAGCTATACACACTGTAAATCATAAAATTCTCAATTCACATAAAGAAGGTCTTAATTACCTTAAATACAAACTTATGCTAATGACCCCATTGCATAAATCCAAAATAATCACTTGTTACATTTCTTAATGGTTGTAATTTGTTTCCCTGATGTTTTCTTATCCTGCACAGCCAGTCAGCAAACAGAGACAACAGCAGAAAGATGCATATTGCATAAACACCATAAGTTATATAAATCAAAAATTCTGAATTCTATAAAGCAATTAATTTCACTTAAAGAGTTTAATTTTCTAGTTAACTGCTGTTGATTCACAAACAACTAGATCTGTCTGGATTGAAAAGAAAGACTAATCCCAAATTTACCTCAGTAAATTATTCTATGCACATTTGAGACAGAAGTAAAAAGCTCCATGGGACAAGAGAATAGTAGGTTCATTTCTTATTCATGCACAGGTGGACTCAGCTGACTTTAGTCAACACAAATATGCATGTAACTCATCCTACGTGCTCCCTAAATTGCTCCTTACCATGTGGTATCTGTCCATCCTTGGAATACCTGAACTGTGCAAATCATGAGATTTTTTTTTTTTTTTTTCATTTTAGAGATGTAAAGAGTCTCACTGACTCCCAGTATAGGAGAGGAATCATTCATATCAATTAAACAGCACTTAGGTTTGTGTCTACCTGAAGTAAAGGAAAAAGAACTGGATCCTGAGTTTATTCATCTCAACAAAACTGGCATCAGTCCAGTTACCTCACAGCATAAATTATGATGTCCCTATGCTCTTCCAAAATCTGGTGGGTCAAGTGATAAAAAAAAGAGAAGCAGATTTTTTCCTGATAGTTCCTCAAAATATTTTGTTTATGGAACAGACACTGATGCTCAGTGCTGGATATAAAATATGGGGTTTTTTACTATATGAGAAACCAACCTTTCAAAACACCATTAATTTGTACATGTGACTGTGGGTTCTCTGTATTCAATGGATGTACAAAATTTTGTTTCTGAAATACCCATATATCTCTATATGTATCAGACATTGCATTTCAAAGCGTCACTGTCCGGAAACTTATACACAAAGATTTACATGCAATACACTCTGAAACAAACAAAAACCCCAAACCGACAAACAAAGGGGAACTAGGATACATTCAAACAAATAAATTTTAAAAGGCACGCTGTGTTGCTAAATACAGCAAAAACTTCTTACAAGCAAGAATAAAGGCCAGGAAAGCCACCCGCAAAACTTAATTCCTTAAATGGTAAGACAAGACATTTCTGCTGCATTGCCTTGGGTCAGTAGAGATAGATCAGCACCTTGCAACAGTACACTGATTCATTCACAAAATTTTAACACACAAAGGGGAAAAAGTCCTTCTATCTCATTGATACAACAAATGGAATTTGCAAACAGAAGGCTTACCCACGTTAAAACCTGTGTGGGTATAAGGCTGTAGAGTTTACACCCCTGCTCTCATCACACTTTCTAATAAGCTCAGACAATTATAACATTAAGTTGAATTCTACCTGAAAACCTACACTTTCAGCAGCCACTTTCAACCCAGTACTACTCTGAACCATAGTTCAGTCCCAATTCAGTGGAAAGAATCAATCTTCAGGTGAAATTACATGAGATCAGTGAGCCTTAAAGGCCCTGCTCCTCTTGCCTGATCTTAGCCACACAGCACCATTCCTCAGGTCAGCTATGCACATTTGTGAAACCCTTCACTGCATATTCAGCTGCATGAAGTCAGATAGTTATCTGTGGGGTAGTGAGCTGAAAGGGTTCACAGACCGATCCAACAAAGGACAGGAGAAAGAATTCAAGATGGAAGGTGAGACCTCTCCTATTTTGGATAAAAAAAGCCAGTAGATTAGCTCTTAGTTTCTCATCAATATAATATTCTGAAGAATGTGGGAAAGAAAAATCCTGAAAACACCTAAACACTAAGCTTGCCCAACCCTGCTCACAATAGCTTGTGAAATCCAATAGGATCAAAGAATGATGTAAGGCTGTAGGTTTTCTACAGATTAGAACACAACTTTACAGCTATAAATAGTAACCAGCACATGTAGCACCCAGACACAGTTAAAGAGCTCATCCTTAAGGCAAACCAACAATTACATTAAAAACAAACAAATTCTATTGACAAAACTAAGTTAGACAAAATTAATTAACTTACTGAATCCAAAAAGCAGAGATAGGTTCCTGAGCTCTGAATTACTGCTTGATTTTTAGCAAATCCAACTGTTGAGAAAACAAAGACAAAATTATGTGGTAGTTTTTATATTTGTATTCTTTTTAAATCTTACTACAGTTAGGAACAGTTGAAAGGAAATACAAAAATCAGTACACAATTTTTTCATGTTGAAAAGGAGGTGGTTTGTAAATATTTGAATAGTATGTCTATTTTAGTCTTCTCTGAATGATCATCAGTTGTATGCATGAGAATTCTACCACCAAGTAGAAGCAGACTGCTTTTGCTAGCTCTCCTCAAAGACACATTATATAATATACACCTTGAGGAGCCCAGCTACCTAGGTTTCACATCCAGCATCCCAAATTATAAAAAGTCATAATGGTTTGTGTTAGAAGGGACCTTTCAAGGTCATCTAGTCCAATCCCTCTGCCACGAGCAGATGCTGAGAACCACTGGCCGTATATACATCTATCTCTTATATCATAACAAGTAGTAACAAATCATACAAAGGCAAAGAAAGGGCAACAGCATGTTGGCAATCTGTTCTTCCCACCATGGGGCCAGGTCCTCAGAAGGACTCAAAAAAACCCCTTCTGTACTATCATGCTTTGTATGCAAATACAAAAACTTCATGTGCTATTTCTGTAATGGCACATGTAAAGCAGAGGGGAGCCAAGGCAGAAGAACATGCATACAAGGAGCACAAACCTGGCTTATTTATACCACAACACGTTATAACATCTATGGAAGACCACACTAAAATATAAATTCAGTCAAATGACGTTGGCATCTACAGTCTTTTTGCTTCTGACCCCTTGACACTTGTAGAATCTTTTATGAAGCCATTTCAAGAAGCTGAACCAAAACAAAACTTTTTTGTCAGCTTAATTTCAAAAGCAGATTAACAGCACTGAAGGGTCAAATGGCAGAGACAGAAAAAAATGGGGGCAGCAGGAATACACAGCCAACAGTAAGGATGGGACTGTGGCAACCAGCAATAAGATGAACTCAGCTTACCACTGAAACACATCTGCAAAGACAGAGTGTTCACCTGGGATGAATTTTGTATGTAGACAAGGTCTACCCTGGAACAATCTGGTCTTTGAATTCTTCTCCCGGGCAGCATTATAAGAAAAGACCATGCTATATCCAGTGTTATTCTGAAAATGCTACATGAATCCCACTTGGTCATATGTGGAACATTTCAGCTTTGTTTAAAGTATTTACAGAACCAGGCCAGGGAATCCAGCAAAAGACTGCCCTGACATGCAAACCAAATGATGTGAAGATAAGCAATGCTGTGGGTTTTCTATTCTTTACTAGGAAAACTGGAAATGTAAACCCAGAAAATCTCACCATGAAGTGAAGCAGGATAACTATAAATAATATTATCCCTGAAGTTTCTGGTTTTGCATTTGAAAAAAAAAAAAGCATACTTCTGTAATTCTCTACTCTTTTTATGTGATACAGGTTTAAGTTTACTCAGGAAACAAATTTAACTGGGCTCAAAGGTTCACTTAAGTTTTAACACACATTGGCTATTTTGCTGAGTTCTCCAAGTACAGAAAAAGCCTTATGACTGCATTTCTCACTGCCTCAAAGGAACATGATGTCAACTACCAACAGAACGCTACTAATAAAATGCTTCTCTTCATCATGGATTTCTGAGACTTAACAGTGTATTTACATATTCCTTTTTATACAGATATGAATATCTAATCCCACATATACAGTCACTCTCTTTCTCCTTCCTATTGGCAGTAAAAAAGCCGCCGGCAAAGTCAGTAGCTGCCACAACAGCAGAGCTGAATCTTGGCATGAGCAGTTTTACTGGGAAAAAAACTGATGCAAGTTAGCAGGTCTGGACATGCCAAAGGAGCAAAACCCTAATACTGTGGAGGTCCCTATTAAAGCAAGAGGTAAAGGAAAAGGATAGAAGTAAGTCTGCCCCAAATCAATCAAATCACCACTCTCATACATCATCACCCGCTGTAAAGCAGCCTGTACTTACACCTCAATGCTGTCATTAACATACCCCAATATTTCAACAACCTTCAGTAGAAAATAACGAATAATTATTATAATAATTATCAAAATTATCAAAATAATGGGGATCGATAATGTAGGAAGAAGTGAAGGAGACTCAAAGGCAACTAAAAGATGCTAATCATATTACTCTATGAGCATCCTAAAATATTTCAGATCTCAAGTTCAAAGAAAACACTTTAAATAAAAACATGAAATATTAAATATTTATTATGAGAAAAAAATATTTATTTCTAAGATTAATACAGAAAGCAGCCTGAAGCTCTTCTTATACCAGCTATATTTCTAGAGGGGAGAGAAGAAAATGCACATATTTTTAAAATTATTAGTATAAGAGATATAACTCCCCATAGAAGAAACTAGATATTAAAAATCATTTCACCACAACAAATCCTGTGTTTGGCATGAGTAAAATATTTTCATTAATATTACTCTACTGAACAAAATCAAATGTTTGTGCCAGTTCTCTGAGTTTTGTAAGGCCTGCTTACTTGGTGAAAAGAGCCTGTTACCATGGTTACAGCCATAAAAACTTAAGCCTCGGTGAGATATTAACATTCCTCACTCTTGGAAAGAGAAAGGTTTCCTTTTTTAAGGCAAGTGATCCTTTCTTTTTTTTCTAGGTCCCACCCCCCTTTTCTTTTACATGTTAGAAAAGAATCAGAAATAAATCCTAATCTTGTGTAAATAGTTGAAGATGTGAAGCCTGACTAGTACATTGTTTCTGTACGAAAGCATCTTTATTTACAGGAAAGGCTCCTTACAGTTGTAACTAGTCCTGAACATAATAAATTGCTGAAAGCAAACAAATACTACGGATTTCAAGTAACCTGTGCCTAAAATGTAACAACCGTGAAGAAAAGATGTCCTCATTTTAATGGTGACCCGAGAGTGACTTCCACATGAATGGTGGTGTTTTTTCTGAAGAACTATGCATTTCATACTATTATTTAAAACAATGCTCACAGCTGCATCCCCCACCCACAATTTATTAAAGATTTGTTCAGGCTGCAGCTATCCGTACACTGAGAAAAGCATGTTAAAACAAAAAATAATCTGACATATCCCTAATGGCACAAGATACTTCCTGCAGTTCCCAACTCAAACCTAATTTTAGATTCAGTTTCCTAAAGAGCAAAGGTGAACTGACTTCAGAATTTTAACATCAGTTATTGTCAACAGATTGCACTTCTGTGTTCCTGCAAAGTGAGAACTAGTTTACACACAGTTAATACAAAACTATTAGGAACATGACATTATACATAGGAAATGTTTCATTAAAATGGAAAATACATAACAAGATGGCATTAACAAAACAACACTAACCAGCTTTCCCAAGTACCAAAATTAACAACCTCTGGTATTGTTTTTTTATTTTTTTCCTAAGAAATTACAATCTACTTAGATCATCAACTAGTAAGAGAAGTAAAATTTGAAAGGAGACTGGTCACCCAATTGTTGAGGGGAGAGAAAAAAGAAGATAGACAAATTTCCAGGAAAATAAGCAACTCTTGACATTGCTCAATTCCAGCTTTATCAGTTGCCCAAAAGAGAAAAATTCCCATTAAAAACCTTGCCTGTCTTTTGTCATCAGCAGCTCAATAATGCTAATATTACTAGTTGCACTGTCAAAACAACACCACTTCATGCTAGAGATATTAAAATACTAAAAATATTTATAGTAACAGTTATGCTGTGTTACCTCAGTATTGCTAGGTCTGACAACTGTTTAAAAAACAGCTTTAAAGAAGTCTATAGTCAAAAGAAATGGAAGTAAATAAAGCCAGGGGCCTATACCATGTTGCAGATGAACTCAGTGCACAAACTCCAATTTATTTGCCTGTTTCAACAAGGGGATGAAAATTAAACCTGCTGAAACAGAACTGGGCTTTTGGATAACAAGACCACTTTGAGGAGACTCTAATAGCCTGGGTCTCTCTCCAGCTACAAACAGGACATTTTGTTATAACACAGAAACTGACGGATTTTGTGTTACCATGTTTCCAAAGTGTGCCTTTTAAGTAAGATAGCTTGAAAGACACAGTTTTATATCAATTCCTATCTGTCTAGTCGTTGTCACAAAATCCAGAAGGACAGAAACATTAGCTATACAGCTCTCATGTAAAAATGTGAGCATCCTGTTCTGCTGGCTTTGTCCTGTTGGTCTCCTTCAGAACACAGACATGTCTTCTAACTTCCATGCCACTCAACACCAGCTTCTTCAAGAAACAATATACTTTTATTTCTATTTTACATTTTAGTATTTTAGCTTGTTTGCTAAGAAACCCTAAACATAAAACAATCAAAAAAAGCAAAAGAAAAGCTCTTAGAGAGATTTGTTTGTTATCTCCACCAGTGGGCAAGTATAATACTAATGTGTAAATCAACAGGGACTCACACCATACACCTGGCCAGCAGCTCAGTAAACATTGGTTTAGCCCTTTTTGTAAATGCTTAGGAGTGTACTGAGAGCTTTTAGCTCACATACAAACTTTTCTAAAACCTGTGTTTTGATCTGATTATCAAATGGATATCAAAAATATATTTTGTTCTATTTCAGGGTCTATTCTACAATACTGGAAGATATGCATTTGCTTTTTAAAACTTTATGTAACAAATCCTTGATTTCTTTTTTCTTAAAACCCATCTCCTAGAAACAGCTATCAGAAAGCCACAGTAAAATTGCAAGCATTAACAACATTGTGTATACTATAATTAAACAAAATTCTTTTGCAGAGTACAGTGCAAGTGTCAAGCCTCTTCTTTCCTGGACGTATAAACAAATCCTACAGAGCCAAAACCAACAGGGCCAAATTCTAAATTGGAATGAGTTTTTTTGAACAGAGAGCTCTAGAAAACAATGTGAGTTTTCTTCCCATTGCAAGGCAAGTGGCTACAAAGACACTTTTCAAACTAAGAAACACAAGGTGCTTGTGATGATAACCTAACCTTCAAAAAAGTTACTATGAAGCTACATACCACCTCGAGGATGTGAGGAATCATTGCTACCAATGATTACTGGAATACCAGCACCTTCCAACTTGTTCTTCCATTTTTCAATTATTTCAGCTGACCCATCCTAGAAAAGTGATGACATAGATACAGCTGTTTTAACTTGTACAGTGAACCAAACACAGTTCAAAACAAAAATTCCCATTGGTGACAGTACTGGAGAGAATTTTAAATAAGGTCTGAAACACACCTTACTGGCATCATTAAAAATTGACAGCTCCACGGTTTCTCTAAAATCTTGTTCCCAAACTGATTGCAAGCATTCATCTAACCAGCATTCACTATTGTGAACAGGTACAATGACAGACTGCAAAAGAAAAAAAAAAAATAGCACAAATGTATGTTACTAAGCACTATTTCTGTTTACTTACAGTATAAGCATTCATTAGAAAGGGGTTCCCATTATAGCCTCTATTGGTTTAGATACGTACTGGCAAAGCATGAAAACTTACCTGACACATTTTAAAATTGGTTAGAAATCAGAGACAAGGAATTTCTCAGTTCTGTTACTCACTACTGTTCTAATTACCCCCTTAAAGCAAACAACTCCCCCACTATCTTTCAGTATCTCAAAAAAAGAATACATTCAATACACAGATTTCCTAAGAAATTAGCACAGCAATACACTGACTATGTTCATAAAGGGAGAGTCCGAACCTGTACTTGTTAAGATCACTTATAGATGGGGAACTTAAGGCAAAGAGCTCAAGTAACTTGTAAAAAGTCTCAGGGGACATCTTAAGAAGTTCCTAGAAACAGAACATAAACTCCTTATCGTGTGGTGTAACCATAAACACACAGCTTAAAGAAACAAAGGATTAGTTCCTATTGTGAGCATGTGAGAATCTGAGGAAACAAAATACTAGAAGAATACTGAAATTGAATTATTCAGGATTTAGAGACATGTGAGTGCATGTACAATGTGTGAATACATGCAAACGCATACAATAGGAGGCAGGTTTTGTGGACGCTGAGAAGTGTGATTTTGGGGGTTTTACAGAGTATGATGTATGTACATGGAGGTATTGCAGAGTATGATGTATGGTACAATGATTAGCAAATAAGGAACTTAACATTTCACAGCAAAATAAAAAACCCCACACATGTCTAAACTGAATGAACGTCCTGAATTTTGGTAGGATGCTGTAACAGGCAGAAGGGGTATTTAAAAAGTAGGAGGATTCTAAGCAAAACAGGTCTTTAACTTGTGTTTTGGAGAGAAAAGTAAAATAAGGAGAAATAAAAATAAAAAGCATTACATTAACAAAGAATTACCATTATCACATACAGACAAAAAAGATTATTTCCAAAATGTCTCAGATTAGTACTTAGAGACTAAAAAAATAAACAAAAATTGGTGATTCTAAACCAATATATTCTGCTTACTCAGGACTTTAATATCCTTTATGTCTAGATAGCAATTAAAATACGGCCCTATATATTCATACTAACCAAACATATTCATTCAGAATGAAAAGGTTTCTGCAGTTCTTCCAATGACAATATAAACTAGCTACACTTTGCACATCCAGAAAAATATATGGTTTTCCAATTTTTTTTCTAATTTACTCAGTAAAAATATGACTATGTCACCACAGACCAGCTTGATACTGGCTTGAAAACCTCTAAAACTGGAACTTCTTTGCATTTTTTCATAATGAATTCCTGATTTAAGTCAGGAGAGCAATGCAAAATATCAAGATTATGTTTGGACCTCTTGGTTTAATTTGAATCAAAAACATGAAGAAAAAACCCCAGTACTTTAAATCAAACCATAAATACCTGATGGCACTAAGGTATTCTGAACTCACCATATACTCATAGTACATCAGCATGCTCCTAAACACATTACTGTGAGCAAGTTTACTTCCAAAGAACTACCACAACACTGTTGAGCTAGATGCCTGCCAAAATAAGATTCAGAGCTGAAGTGGTGTAAAACCTGAAACACTAACAAATCCATACAAATGTACACAGCAAGATGACTAAAATATCAGAGTACTGCTAACCTTGTATACTTAAGGTTTCTTAGGTTCTACCGTTCTTACTCAGTTTACTGTTTTTTTGTCTTTATTTTGTAAAGATAGATGAAAAAGTCAAATTAAAACCACCTGAACTTTCATTTCTCCCTAGTTCATTGGTAGCCTGGCTTAAAAGTTGCACTCAGCACTCGTCCCGAACTAAGCATTCACAAACTGGCCTTCATCACCATGTGACTATATCAGAATACTTCAAACTCCTTGGTTCATCTAAAAACCATGGAAAAACACGTAGCAGGGCACTGTTTCACTCACAGGTGCAGAGGCAAAGAAACCAGCTGACAGTAACCTCAAGAGACTGCATCTGTTTCTTCTGTCCGCAGACAAGATCAACTACAGCTACATTGCTACTGACAAATCATCACCTCTAGGGACAGAAGCACCAACCTTGCTAAGGCAATTTCTAAAACCAGGCACAAGGGACACCTGGAAACATTTTACCAATGTCTGAAATCCATTTGCTGCATTATGCCAACTACTACTTCCCAATCCCAGCACAGATTATTATTTTAGTTCCCTTTACAGCTGCATATATTCTTATATATATTATTATTCTATTAATTTATTTATTTAATAATTTATTCTATCATTGTACATGTTATTATTATTCCTACATAGTACAGATTCGTATATTTGAAGACTGCTACCATAATAGTGAACTACAGAAATAGGCACAAAGCTCTTTCAAAGTAATTTTGAGTCAACACAGGGATATAAATTGCAAACAACTAAGGTATTTTTGTCATTACCAGACCAACTGACTCAGAATTATCATGTCATTAGCCAAGACTGATTTACAGAAAAATCCAACATTTTCAAGGCCTACGAGCCAATTACAACAGTTCAAATACAGAACCATGAATCAGATCTGGATCTGAGCATTGTGACACTACCTGTTTTTCCCTCAACTTCCCACATTCTAAACCTGAAGCAAATTTATGTATTTTTAGCAATGTATTTTTGCCATCGCTAAGCTGAAGATCACTGTTTGTGGCCTCACTGCAAAATTAATTTTGATGCATGGCAAAAATGACAGAACGTGAAACGATTTAACAGGTAGCTCGATCCTCTTTCTTCTACAACTGTTTAAGCAAAAAACTCCCTTCCTCCCTCAGCTTGACCACTGAAAAACGATGTCAATCACATTATCAGATAGAACTGGAAAACAGTGAGGTTTTAGAAGTGTCAGAAACTGTGCAACTGAATGTTTTACATCCAAAAAATCTTGTTTCTGCCATTATCACACTCATTCTCTACTGACAATATGAATAGCAATTGCAAAGCGAAGACTTATTTTCAGTTTCCACAAATTTCAGTTGAAGTAGACTCCTAACTACCTCCACGGAGGAAATAACATTTAAAAATACTTTTAATCCTGTTGAAGATTTTGTATAAGTCAAAAAGCATTATTTTTAAAGGAAATTTTCATTTCATTCATCGGTTTGTTTCCTTTCATTCCAAACCATCGAGAAACTCAGGTCTATTGACAAGCAACATCCAAGTTGTGTCAAAGCTCCTATAGGGGATGAACAAACCCAGAGATTTCCAGGCCACAAACTTTGACCTGATTTTATCTCTGAGACTCTGTGAAGTTAACCATTTTTAATTGCTCATTGCTCTGTATAGTTTTTCTTTTCAGATGTTTGCCTCACTAAATGTAAACTGTTACCAAAACCTATCAGCGGTATGTGTATACATTTGTAAAAGAAAAACTAATCTAAAGAAAACCAGCATTACTACGGGGAACAGCAAAAGAATGAAGCATTGTAAGAAAAATTTAAAGGTGTTTTCTCGAACTCCATGTAAATAGCCGGGCCTGTCATTCGCTACGGGCAGTCAGCACACCAAAAATATCCCCTCGGGGGAACCCCTGCTACAGCCCCCGGCCGAGAGTCGCGGCACTGGGGTAACGGCCGCGGCCGGAGCCCGGCTCAGGCCCTTCTGCCGCCCTCCCGGGCCCCC